GACGTGTAGTAACTACCGGACAAAAGCACAGTGTTTGCGGTATATCTTCATCTGGTGTGGACTTAAAATCATAAAACATCTTCGAGTATGAGTTTTGGAATCGGAAATTCTTATAATAATAACTGAATCTGTGTCTTCTACACCGTGTCCACCATATACATACTATCTATATACTATGAGTTTTGTTTGGATCTTGACCGGAAGGAAAGCCACATCGCTCTGTCCTTGCCAAGTAAACAGGGAATGGTGCGCATGCGTTAGAAGCAGATGCCGATGCGAGAATGTGACAATTTCGCTAGATACAATAAGTAAAAATGTCACAATCTAAGCAGTGGACAATCCGTAGTAAGGACCACAGCCGTCTTGCTCTCTCCACTCGTTCATGATTTTGTGTACAGGGCATGCGCATTGGATTCTAATTCCTCGGGAGAGACAGAAAAGTATCTCCTTCTCTCCGGACAATTTCGTACACGGGGGCCTATAGCCGGCTACCAGTATATAGATAATAAGTATATGGTGTCCACCTAGTGCGCGTAAAACCAATATCTAGGTTAACAAAAGATATCTTAATTTTTTTTTCTACAGAGTTGCCAACTTTCCCGAGCTGCACAAAATTAAAATATATTTGCATATACAGGGTGTTCAGTTTTTCTTGGGCAGGTACCAACTTAATTTTTTTTAATGAAAACCTATATTTTTTATGGCATTATCGAATTCTACGTTAGAAATTAACGGGGCTTTGTGTTATGATCCCTATTAAAATAAGGATAGTTTTCGAGATCGACTTTTCATTTTTTTTTCTTATGTTTCGTCACTTCTAGTAGTTGACATAATTATGATTGTATGACAGATAGAAATTATTTTTTTTCAGGAACTGTAGAGTGAAGATGGCTCTTTCAAAAAACGGATCAAAAGTTGCCCTGCGATATACAGGGGGCAAAAAAAATCATGCCACACCTGATAATTTAAAATTTGAAAAATCTCGACTCTATAGCTTTCCCTATACCTAAGTTGCGTAGTTTTTGCAAAAAAAAACATTTTTATGTAAAATACCGGATTTGCGCCCGTTCCTTTGTCGGGAAAAATATTGTAAGGGTATTTATTCTTATTGAATTTATTTGTTGTTTAGCTACGCTATTTAAAATAAAAATTAGTAGCTGAAAAATTTAGATATTTGAGTTTAATAAATAAGTCTTTATGGAAAGTTACCATTTATTTGTAAATAAAATCAAAAAACCATAAAATCGCTACAAGTAATTAAGAGAATTAGCAAAATATGGGAAATGTTTGCCAGCAGCACGTATTTACAAAGCAAATAATCCAAATTTACAGAGATTCCCACTGTTTTGAAAATGTGAAGGAAAGGTTTGAATGAACAGCAAATGTGAATTATGAGAAAACTACCAGGATACATGAAAGTAACAACGATAATATTTAGTTTAAAGTTGTGGCGTCTGCTGTTGAAAATCCAAATATTAGTGCCAGGAAATTAGTAGTAAACTTGGAGTTTTCAAAAGCTTGACAAATAAAATGTTGAAGAAGAAGTTTCATCCGTATCATATTGAAAATTAACCACTGTTACCGTAGTTAGGAAAGTTATTAGTGAAATTGGAGATTAAAAAATTTGGATGAATAGAATTTTGAAAAGGAATACTCATAGTCGCGAGCTAACTTAAAACAAATACCCTTACAATATTTTTCCCTACAAAGGTACGGGCGCAAATCCGGTAATTTACATAAAAATGTTTTTTTTTTTTGCAAAAACTACGCAACTTAGGTATAGAGAAAGCTATTAAAAAATTGTAGGGTCTACAGAAAGGCATGTAATGAGATCACAAAATACAGGGTGTTCTATTTGAAAAAGTCGAGATTTTTCAAATTTTAAATTATCAGGTTTATCGCAGGTCAACTTTTGATACGTTTTTTTAAAAGAGCCATCTTCACTCTACAGTTCCGGAAAAAAAATAATTTCTAGCTGTCCTACAATCATAATTATGTCGACTACTAGAAGTGACGAAACATACCCTGTATATGTAAATATATTTTCATTTTGTGCAGCTCGGGAAAGTAGGCAACTCCGTAGAAAGAAAAATTAAGTTATATTTTGTATTAACCTAGATATTGGACTTACGCGCACTATGTGGACACGGTGTATATCATCGATCGTCATCTTTAGCAGCTCATCTCTTCTCAAGGCTCCAGAAATACCAATTATTAAAATGACCTGAAAAGTTGTCCAAAATTAGTTAAATCGATCGAATTATATTAATTTGAATTACCTTTTCTAGCAGAAATCTATTATCAGGTGCTTCTTGTAAAAATCTCTCAGTTTCTTTTTTCGTTAGAATTCTGGACTTTTTCGGACGGTATCCAACTACTTTTCAAGCATGGTATTAGTTTTGGAAATTTTCTGATATATTTTTTTTGAACTTCAGTGTACATATTTTTACATGTGTACTGACTATAATGTAGAAGGTTTAATTTTATAGATGATACAACATGGCATTTTAGTTGTTCGTGAGTTTTTAACGGCAACATATCAAGATCGCTGGATTGGTCGAGGTGGACCTCATTTATGGCCTGCTCAAATCACGGACTTATGTCCCATGGATTTTTTCCTATGGTGCCATTTGAAGTCATCACTTTGCACTACTCCAGTGAAAAATAAAGGGGATTTCATGGTGTAATTTAATAAGAAACAACCCTGGTGATATTGAAAGAGTTTGGTAGTTAGTGAGGCAAAAATTGAATTCTGCTGGTGGTAGTCATTTTCAACAGTTGTTATAGAGCTTTATATGTAATATTTTGAACATACTGTTATTGTCTAAAAGCTTTTATCGCTCTTTAAACAAAACGACTTTCCCAATATCAACAAAATATTCTTAAAATAACTCAAATCACCCCTTTAATGTGTGCCGTATTATTAGAAAACACCCTGTATAATATCTACTACTCAACGATTAGCCTAGAAGTCAAAGACGTGTGGCGGAGGGGGCGAAATATTATTAATCGATAGGCTATTAAGAACCATTAAGTACAGAAACAGCAAAAGACGTATTGATTTTTTCAAAAAAAAATCAGTTAATACCTAATTGTTATAATATCTAATTGCGGGTAATTTAAATAAATGATTTTTTAGACATTGTCAAGTAAAACTATAAAGCACGGTAAACATATAAGTGTAATTAAATTCTTTTGTTTATCGACGCATATTTTTCGTCAAGTGGCCTACTACCAGTGGCGGTTTTACCATAAGAGCTGCGGAGCTGCAGAACACATAAAATTTTATGTATTTAATCATATTAAATATCAACAAAATATTTAAAGAATCCAAATGTACTCGCGCTAAAATAAATCTAGGAGCTTATATTATTTATTACGACGGCGACGCGAGCTACGCTCCTTAATATATGCAACCTCATATACACAATGTGTGGACAGCGAACAATTATATGCGTCCTTTGTTTTTATTGGCTGATCAGGCACGTGACCCAGTACACGGAGATAGGGGCTTTTGCGGCTGCAATAGTGACAGCCACTGCGCTGCAGTCTGCAGGAAAGGCAGTAATATTTCGTACGTGGTATGTGGTGGTTTAATTCTGCGAGCGGCACGTGTGAATATTTTCGTTTAGGCGTCTACGGATATTATAGTTATTAAAATAAATAGCGTTTCGTTTAAAAAAAACTTTATTTGGTTCTCTGCCTTATGAGGATAAACTAAAAATAAAAGAAGTAAAAGTTATAAAAAAACAATAATGTATACACAAAAGCAGAGTGGGTGTGCGGGTGTGATTTAAAATATTCACTGTTTTGTTTTCCGTGCTTACTTTTCGGTGGGGATAAAGCATGGACAATATACAATGTGAAAGATTTAAGTCATTAAGTCTTTAGGTAAAATAAACACAAGAAGTCAGTTAGATTCTGCATATTGGGATAATATACGGAAACACAATGAACAGGTAATGAAAAATCGTCATGTATTATTTAAAATCATAGATTGCATAAAATTTTGCGGAGCTTTCGAATTAGCACTTCTCGGACACGACGAGACAGAAAATTCGGACAACCCTGATGTGTTTCGTGGACTCATAAATTTTAGTGTAGATCTTGACGACATTTTAAAAGAACATCTAGCCACATTGGTATGACCGGGATTTTCTGTGATTGTACCGGGAATTAGCTGTATGGTCCCGGATTTCGGATTTGCACGTATAACTCCCGGAATATAATATAATGTACATATATATAAAAAAGATAAAGAAAAAATCATAACACGCCGAGGAAAATTAAAATTCGTTGAATCGTTGGTAAATTTCACAAACGATTTTTTTTTATAAACAATATTCAATAATTTAATAAAATATATTTAGTTTATTCCAATTTATTATACCATCAGTAGGTAATTCGTAAATGGATATTTCAAAAAGGTATCAATTTCAAAAATCATTCTTGTGAAAATCTGTATTTTTTTTATAAATTCATTGTTCCTTGAAATTCAGAAGTGCCAGGAAAATGCGTGACCTTGAAAATTTTAAAATTTTTCGCCTGCGGCGCCATTTAGAGACTCCGGGCACTTAATATCCCGCAATTCGATTCAACAAATGTAACAACCCTAAGCAGAACACATTCAATCAATGTTCACGCGCCGCCACTGCCTACTACTATATTCCCACGTATGAATTTTTTTTAACAAAATAAACAAGTGGAACAATATGCAAAGAATTATATAATAGCCCACAGTATGTAGGCATTATCCATAAGTTCAAGATATTAAAAAACCACCTTCGATACAATGAGTCAACAGTCGATGAGTTAACTTATACAAATAGCAATGCAATACACATACTTTTATTTGACATGGTCTTAACCACGCCGCATATTTATTTCCGTATAACAATTCAAGAGATAGGCGTAAAATTAAAATCTTAATACGAACACAACGATCATATTAAGTTGTCAAATATTCAATAATTACTAATACATTGTTTTATCATTTCTAGATAAAAATAAAGGGCCATGTCGGCCGAAACAACTAGAGACGTGTCTTCGATCCAAGACGAAGATGTTTTACGTAAAATGGTAAGGATATATGTTCAAATATTTAACTCCAATGACTTGATTCCAACGACTTCTCAATTTCAGTGGCAAGAGACAGAAGATTTCGGAAAGAAGAAAGAGATACGTTCGCACATGTACAAACTAAGGGAACAACGTTTACGAGAATTTTACAATAACGGCGAAGTCAGCACAGAAATACACACCAGCTCCACGACCTCTGAAGGCAAACCGTGCAACAAACCCACCCATGCAGATTCTTTGGCAGACCACAGCTTCCTCAGCTTGAAAAGCAAGGAGATCAGGGACTCCGAATCACCCACCAGAGACGTAAGCTATAAAATCACAGGTAAATAATGTTCCATGTCAAATTTATATGATTCAACAACACTCCTTATCCTCTAGACAAGCATAATGACCAAGGATGGCAAGTCGTTACCTCCAACGAAAGAAGCGCTGACGGAAAATCACACGTGACGAAAAGATTGGCCACTACCTCAGGTAGTGACAAAATAGAAGGCGGCAAAGTAGACTACGCGGCTAAAAACGAACAATTAGCCAGCGTTTACCAGGATGGCGACGATAAAAACTTCATCAAATCAGTCGGCGCTCAGTCGAACACAGTTATCAAACAAGAAGCTGTTGGTGGTGATGATAACAGCAATTTCAGATCCACTTCCTCGAAAACTTCATCTTCTTCTAGAGTCGTCACTGAACAAAGGTCTACCAGTGGTGATACTTACCAACCCTTACCTTCAAACGTTGAGCAAACAGCAAAAACTGTTACCACGAAGGTTTATACTGACAACATACCGAGCGAACTGAAGAACCATCCAGGTTATGTAGAAGGAAAGACTAAGGTCACGCGTGAAACGAAGACTTTGCCAGATGGCACAACTGTTACCACAACGAGATACGAAACCAGAGGAGGAAACACTTCTCAGTCTTCGACCACAAACAAATTTGAATCTACTGTTAGTAGTTCTAATCAGCAAACTTCTTCGTCGAAAACGTCTCAAGTTCAAAGTTCGAAGACAAGTGATCAGAGACAAATTAGAGATAATTCCAAAGCTATGGAATACATCACAGATTCTAGGCCCATCCCAGAGTACACGGTTCAAGTAATAAAAGGTCAAAACGATGATATTGCATCTACAAATAGAAATCAGAAGTTTACTGATGAATTCGTTGATACTAGAGTCAATATAGTGAGAGACCAGTCACATCACACAAATACCAGTCAAAAGGTTCATAGCGAAAGAAAAGTAAATGTAGTCAGAGAACATCGCGATAATGTAGATATCAAACAGCAAAATTTTGTTGACGAACATAGAAATATCGATGTGCAGCAACATTTTGATAATAAAGTGGTGAGGAATCAAAACAGAAACGACGATTTTGTCGACAGAAAGGTGCAGTTGGTGACAGAAAATTACAATAACAAAGACAACGTAAGCCAAAGTTTTGTTAATGAACAAATCGAAAGAAGAATAAACGTGGTAAGGGACGTAAACGATCAAGATATAAGAAACCAAAAGATTGTAAATCAACAAGTTGAAAGGAATGTTAATATTCACGTGACGAAACATATTTCTGATGACGTAGATGTCCAGAATAAAGACATCCGCAATGAACGGGTGATAGTGGACGTGGTACCTATAGACGACAAAGGCAGTACCAGAACTATCACCAGAACTACTACTACTGTAAAACAAGAACCTCTTGTAGTGCCCATAGATAATAAGGACACAAAAACCATCACGAGGACAACAATAATAAAACAAGAACCAGTTGAAAATGTTACACACACTACAACCACAACTACTGTACGCAAGGAAGTACACGACACCAGAGACCACAACAAGAAGATTGATGACCAGTTTATAAGCACCGAACGTCAACACGAAATAGACACCAGGAAAACTGTGGAAAGTAAGCCACGTGAGCCAAGTCCGGGAAAGAAAGCTATAAGACCAACTGAGCCCAGTCCTGTTAGACCTCAAAGTGAACAACCCCAGCCTTACGAACAATCTCCTTCAAAACCAAAAGAGCAACCTCAAAGTTATGAGCAACCTGAGCGACGTCAGCCTATCAAACCAGGCAAATCGGAAATAGATCAGCCAAGGAAACCAACTGATGGACAGTATGAAACCACATACAGAACAGACTTTACAAACAAAAAGATTAGCGTGGAGGTGAGTCCCACTCATGATGCTTTCGCGCGTTCTCTGAGAGCTGTTACCCCAGAAAGAACCCCAAGCAAATGTTCGACACCTACTAGAGATGGTACTAGAAGTCTCAGAACAAGCACTAATTCGTTAAGAGGCAGTACCAGCCCTGAGAAAAATAGGTATCCCACAAGGTCATCTCCCGACCGTCAACCTCGAGACAGAAGCACCAGCCCAAGAAAGTCAACAGACAGATTTTCTAGCTCTGAAACCATTACTTACAAGTCTAATAGAACTAGCCCAGAAAAAACTCCCGTTAAAAAAATACCATCGCCTGAACGCTTGGTCAAATCGACAATTACCGCGAAAAAAACAAATGATGATAATGTTACTGTTACAAGGAAAACTAAAACAGACACTCATAATACAGACACAATCACACGCAAACAAAAAGTTGTCACTAACGGATCTACAACAACTGATGATATAGATACCAGTACCATCACTCGACGTAAAGTCAAACCGAGGTCAAGGTCTCCTTCTCCTACGTCGACTGTAGCAAGCGACATAGAATTTATCAGAAATGTACACGATATGGTCACAGATCTAGACGACACAACTGTAACCACCAAAAACTTTATAAATCAACAGGATATCACAGAAAAAGACACTAGACCAACCAGTCTAGAAATAACAACTAAGAAAACAAAGAAAGTTACTGATAGATCGCCCACATCACCTTTTACCAAGTCACCAACAAAAGAAACACCAAGAAGGAGCAGTTTAAAATCACCAACTAAAGAACCTTCGGAAAAACAACCGCGCTACTTCTCGCCCGATGAGAGACCTTTGAAAAGGACCGATACCTACGAAGAAAGGTGCCGACAAATTCTTGGTATAACTGAAACAAACGAAAAGAGAAGAGGGAGCTTGGAGAAACCGTCTATAAAAAGACCATTTACTAAAGATAGTGTTGGATCACCTGTCACTGATACACCCAAGAGAACCATTCAGTCTCCAGAAAAACCATCCACAAAAGCGACTCCAGAAAAGAAAAGTCCTACGAAAGACAAACCAAATGTACAAGAATTTCCCTCGCAGACTAGGAAGTCACCTGTTAAGGAACCTTTAGAGAAGTACCCCGAGAAGAAAAGCCCTACTAAAACTGCTCCAAGTGTTCCAGAGTTCCCATCACAAGTCAGGAAATCTCCTCAGAGAGAACCATTGGAAAAATATCCTGAAAAAACATCGCCAACTAAGTCAGCACCTACTGTGCCTGAATTTCCGTCACAAGTGCGTAAATCCCCTCAAAAAGAACCTTTAGAGCCTTATCCAGAAAGAAAAAGCCCTACTAAAGATGCTCCTAAGGTATCAGAGTTTCCATCCCAAACTCGTAAGTCTCCGCAAAAAGAACTTTTAGAGCCTTATTCAGAAAGAAGGAGCCCAACTAAAGATGCTCCTAAGGTATCAGAGTTTCCATCTCAAACTCGTAAGTCTCCGCAAAAAGAACCTTTAGAGCCTTATCCAGAAAGAAGGAGCCCAACTAAAGATGCTCCTAAGGTATCAGAGTTTCCATCTCAAACTCGTAAGTCTCCGCAAAAAGAACCTTTGGAGCCTTATCCAGAAAGAAGGAGCCCAACTAAAGATGCTTCTAAAGTATCAGAATTTCCCTCACAAATTAAGAAGTCTCCTGAAAGAGAACCATTAGAACCGTATCCAGAAAGAAACATCCGTACAAAAGAAGGTCCAAAAACATCAGAATTTCCATCCCAAATTAGAAAAAGTCCAGAAAGAGAACCTTTGGAGCCTTATCCAGAAAAAATTATACCCAATAAAGAAGGTCCAACAATTTGCGAATTTCCTTCTCAGATAAGAAGTTCGCCAGTAAGGGGGCATTTGGAATCATATCCAGAAAAAGTAAGTCCTACAAAAGATAGTCCCAAAGTCTCAGAATTCCCATCACAGATTAGAAAATCTCCAGAAAAAGAGCCTATGGAACCTTATCATGAAAAAGTTAAGCCAACCAAAGAAGGCCCAATAGTTTGCGAATTCCCCTCCCAAGTAAGAAGATCTCCAGAAAAAGAACTTTTAGAGCCATATCCAGAAAAAGTAAGTCCTACGAAGGAAGGGCCCAATGTCTCAGAATTTCCATCACAGATTAGAAAATCCCCAGAGAAGGAACCTCTGGAACCATATCCAGAGAGAAAGAGCCCTGTAAAGGAAGGTCCAAAAGTATCAGAATTTCCTTCTCAAATTAGCAAATCTCCAGAAAATCAACCTTTGGAGCCTTATCTTGAAAAACAAAAGCCTATTAAAGAGGGCCCTGGAATATGTGAATTTCCTTCACAGATAAGAGAATCGCCAAAGAAAGATTTATTAGAACCATACCCAGATAGAAAACGCCCTACAAAGGAAGGTCCGAATATATCAGAATTCCCATCTCATATCAGAAAATCTCCAGAAAAAGAACCTTTAGAGCCTTATCCAGAAAGAACAAGACCTGGAAAAGGAGAACCATTCGAAACCCAACCAATTGATAAATTACCGTCACAAGTTAGAAAATCTCCACAAAAGGAACCATTGGAGGCCTATCCGGACAAGGTAGCGCCTCAGAAATCTAAACCATCGGTTGAAGAGTTCCCTTCACAGACTAAAAAGTCACCCCAGAAGGTGACAAAAGTCCCATACCCAGAAAGGAAATCGCCAGAGAAAGAAAAACCAATAGTGTCTGAATTTACTTCTCAAAAACCTAAAGGAAAAGAACTTGTCTCAGAAATGAAGCCAACCAAAAAGGAACCTGCTGACACATACCCGGATAGAGTCTCAATTATAAGAAATAAATCACCAGAAAAACTACAACCGCAATATCCCGGCAAAAAACTAAAACCAAAGAAACCTAGAGATCACAGTACCGCATCTTCAGATAGTTCCACGGAGGAAGACGAAATCGAAGAAACTGTTACAGAGACGAATGTAACATATTTGGAAAATACAATACCAGTTGAAGAGCCTCTTGTTATAAAAAAGTTTATATCACCGTTATGCCGTGAGGATGAGGTGGAGAGGACTGACATAACCAAGAAGAGCACTAAAGAGTTGATCGAACAAGAAATATTAGAAAACGAGGTTACCAGAAGCAAAACCGTTAAGAAAGATCAGCCTAGAACTCAGCCTAAAAAGGACACACCTAAGAAGCCTGGAACCACAGACTTTATTAGCACCGAACGTACTCATACGACAGTTACAACAACAACCAAAAAAGATATGCCCCGTGAAAAATCTCCATTAAAGAAACCAGTATCTGAAACTCCACTTGAAAAGAAGCCAAGTAAATTTACTACTACTATTACAAAAACTGTCAAAAAGGAAACACCGAAAACTCCTACTAAAAAACAAGAGATACACAGAGTGGAAAAGACTAAATTTATAGGTCAAACTGAGTATACAGATGAATATTCCAGACCCAAACCAAAAGCAAGTCCCACAAGAAAGCCACAAAGGCCTTCAGAAAGAATTACTCTACAAGACATTGAAAGAATGTACGATCAAATTGAAGACTCAAAGGTACACATCAGAACTCATAGAATTGATGACACCATCAACAAAAAAACTGTAGTTGCAAACATAACTGTAAATGGAGATATAACCAGAAAAGTGAAACCAAAAGATTCTCCTAAATATCCTTCCATCGGTTCTCGAGCACCAACCGGTCCAAAATCAACAGTACCCAGTTACATGTCTCCATCTAGAAGACCAACATCGACTAAACCTGATGATCAAAAACCCAAGACTACAACGACTACATCCCGGTATATTACTACTGCTAAGAAAGACATTAACGTTACTGATCAAACTAGTAGAGTCAGAACAACTAGACCTACAGTAACAACTAGTACAACAACCATCAGGAGAACTATAAACGTTGCGAGTCCTTCACCCAAACCAAAATCAACAAAACCAGAAGAAGTAACACCAAAAAAACATATTGTCACAACTACGATCACGGTGACACCAAAAGCAAAACCTGTGACTTCAAAACCCACCACGAGAACTGTAACGACAAAAACTACCACCACCCGTACTAGTGAAGTGTCTCAACCTAAATCAAAGACTCCTAAGGCCGACACTCTTCAGAATGGTGACATTTCTTCGGAAACGGAGGAAGAATCTGTTGTAGATAGTTTGGAAGACTTAACCATTAAGCGAAGAAGAGACAAAACAACAGAGAAAATAGACACGAAAGTCACAAGAACCGTCACTGACAAAACAACACGTAAAACACCCGTGAGAGAGTATTCTCCAGAAAAAGTTCCTACAGATGGGAAACCTGGCAAAAGATCGGAGAAATGCATTACAACTAAAACTGTTATTATTAACAATAAAGGCACAGAAGACCGGGAATTCATAGTTGACCTGCAAAGATCTAAATCGTCAAGAGAACCGACCCCTGACAGACTTTGTCCCGTACCTTTATCTTCTGATGAAGATTGTGGAATCCCCAGATATCCTGATGAAGTTGTTGAACCAGAGGATGGAAGCTTACGAAGAAAGCCTAAAAAATTATCAGACATACCTATAATGGAGAGCGAAGACACTACAGAGTTCACAAGAATCACTGAAGTCAAGGATACCAAGAAGATAACGGAAGTCGACAAAGTAGAAGAAACAGACGAAAGCCTACTAAGCGTTAACAAAAAGATAAGCAAATTCTTAGACACTGCCGGCAAGCTGACCAAGGAACCTTTGAAATCGACTGGACCAGCGCCAAAAATCACTCGCCCTAGTTTAGAGGTAACAGAGGACTTGGAAGAAGACGAATGCCTCCTAAGTGTATCGGATAAGGTTAGCAAATTCATAACGACGGCCGAAAAGTTGATCACCCCTCAACAGTTGCCAGATAGACCTAAAAGTCCAAAGTGTCAGTACTACTTCGAGGACGCCACTGACTCCGAGCATACTCGAAAAGTTTCCGAGAAGGTTTCGCAGTATATGAACTCAGCAAAAGAAATAAGTCAGCCAAAAAGGCCTACTCAAGTGCCCAGACCCGACGTAGACGAGAACATAAAAGAAGATGATTGCTTATTAAGCGTTTCTGAAAAAGTTTCCAAGTTCATATCAACTGCTGATAGATTAACTAATACTGAATTAAAGAAACCTGTCAGTTTGTCCAAAATCGATTTAAAACCAAAAGAGGAACCCTCTAGAAAGTCACCTGAAAGGATGTCCCCCGAAAGAAAGTCTCCCGAAAGGAAATCCCCTGAAAGGAAATCACCCACTAGATTCGTGCCTTCAGAGTTTGTTCAAATAGATAGGCAGGAAACAACGTACACACGTAAGCCATCTTATTCGCCAGAAAGATATTCTCCTACAAGAAGGAGTCAATCTCCACGACAGGAAGATAAAACTCCTCCAAGAAGACCTTCGAATCAGTATAGTAGCATTAATAAAAGTGAAACAATAGACTCAAAGTATTCAAGAAGAGATAGTTCGCCCAAATATACAGACACAACGCCAAAATCTGGAAGAAGACCCTCACAGGAAGAACCAAAACCTGTTCTCAGTCCTACTGGCAGACTGAGGAGCACAGAAACTATCAGAAAGGCCAAAGCGCTGTTTGAAAATATAAGTAAAGAGAAGGAAACAACCACCAAGCAACGCGATATCCTCAGCAGACCTTCAGTCTTCGAAGGAAGGAAACCGCAAAAACCTGATGATAAAGACACTAGGTCTCCTACTAGAGATACTGCACCGCGTAAGCGACTGAGCTACTCAGATGAAGAAGAAGAAGAAAAAACCACTACGACCTCTCATAAAATCTACACAACCTCTAGAAGTGATGATTTGAAGTCTACAAAGCTGGTCCTAGAAAAAATACGTACGTCTCCTGAAAAAGACCGTTCCAGATCAAAATCCCCTGAAAGTATCACTTACAGACCTAGAGAACGTGAATCGACGCCTGATTACAGTGACGTTCCTCACTATATGTTGCCTCTAGACAGAAGTTTGAGACCTAATAGTCCCCATAGAGAAAACCTTACGAGGCCCATTACACCTACCAGTCATCCAGTCCAACCACACGATAGTGATGATCTGAAGACTAGTAAATTTGGAGTTACCTTGAAGAGAACCGACTCTGGTAGAGCTCTCACTACAACAAGCACAACCACCACTACGTCCACTGAACGCAGAAGGAGCGCTATTACTTTGGAAAAACGTATCACCGAAGAAGAGGTAGAAGAAATATTTGATTTAGAGATTCTGGAAGAACTGGTGAGTATTTTCATTTTACAATAATAATTTTATTCACTGTTTTGGTTTTGGTTTCAGTTGGAAAAAGTTGTGGGATATGACCTGCGAAGGAAGATCAGAGCGCAAATCCGTTTAGTTAAAAAACTCATCTCTGAAAATAAGCTATCAACTTACGTGGGGAAGAGAATCAGTACCGTTCGCGATATAAGCAGGGAGAGCAGTCCAACTAAGGTAAAACCCCAATCTCCCTACGACGGTACTCCAAAAAGTGACACAAAAAGAGTCACAGAGTATCAGTCCAAATTCACCAAGAAAACAAGCCCGGAACGAAAAGTTGTCGACAACAAACTCTACCAACATACTGACATCACCAACAGACAAGAAGAAACAAGAAGTTCCACGGAGTACCAAAGCTCTTATGCATACAGTGAAAGACGTACCTCCTCAGAATATGCAAGCAAAGTCACCAGAAGAAGCCAAAGCCCTGACACTAAGCCGCAGCGCGAAAGAAGTCCAGACAAAGCCTCCAAACCGACAAGAACTAGCCCCGATAGAAAAACTACGACGAAAACAGATACCAAGAAAACTTTTACACAGCTGAAGAAGACCGCCCCAGTTTCAAAACCCGTCGACGACGACAAACCCGAGTGGGTGAGGCAAAGAAACCTGAGGAAGACTTCCGAAACATCCGTGCCTACAACCAAGAAAGTTACAAGCACTACGACCACAACTAGGAAAGAAACCACCAGATCTAGTCCTCCTAAAGAACGAAAGCCGACCGATTTGATAACATCCAGCTATGGCGTCGGTCCAACCGACGAGAACGGCACGCCACTGTTCGGACTGAAGGCGCTGAGGGCGCAAAACAAAACTAGCACAACAAAAGGTGAGGAAATAGTATATTTCGTTACAAGGTTAGAAGCTAGTAGTACAGTCGTTGAAGCTGAAAATGAGCTGTAACCTACGAATACTTTGAAACTGCATGGATTTGCATGAAAATTTAAAATAAGGCTCATCTTAGGCTCAAGTACAAAAGTGACATAAGCCCGATTGACGCTTTTTGTTTTTTAGGGGTAAAAACTACCCCTAAGTGAAAAAAATTGAAAAAATTAAGTTTTAAGCATTTTATTGATAAAAATCTTGTTCAAGCACAAAGATTAAATAATGTTCCATGTTCCCGAACATGTATTATGATATATTTGATCTTTTCGATCCTTTATTTAACCCTCAAAAACTACCCCTATGCAAAAAATAATGATAAAAAATTACTTTTTAAAGATTTGGAATGATTAAATCGTGCAATTATTTAAAATAAAAGTTACCTTATAGCTAATAAAAGAATTTTTTCCTTTCAACCCCTAAAAACCACCCCTATATGGACAAAAATGATAAAAAATTACTTTTTAAAAGCTTGGAATGCTTCAACGGTGCAATTATTTAAAATAAAAATTCTCTTATTGCTTATGAAAGAATTTGTATCTCATAACACTTTTCAACCCTTATAAAACACCCCTGTACTAAAAAAATTATAAAAAATTACGTTTTAAATGCTATAATTGTGCAATAATTTAAAATAAAAATTCCCTTATATTGTTTATGAAAGAATATACTTTACTTTTGCCATTTTCAACTCTTATAAACTACCCTTTTACCAATATTAATGTAAAATATTTTTATTATAATCGATTTTTAAATATAATCAATCATAAAAAAATTACGCTGCATATAAATAATCACACTAAATTGTTTTACTTATTTTATCTGTATAATATAGGTATTATATAATATATAAAAATGAGAAAGCCTATTTTGCTCCGAAAAAATGTCATTGTTTTTTTTTACCATAACTCGGTTAATTTTGAAGCTATAGTATCCTACAAAAAAGCATTTTAAAGATAATTTCAAGAGCCGTAAGATCGTTTGCATATAAGTCCTTCGTTTTTAAAGGGAAAGGATCAAAGAGCTCGAGACAGGTCGTTTTTTCACTAAAATGAATATTTCAAGCGGCGACATCTCCTTTATTTTTTATGCTATAGGAATAAAAAAAAACAAATTATTTGTTGAAAAAAAGCTACATTTTTGTTGTCTATCATTTTTTACGTCTCTTTCATAGTTTCAGAGTTATTATATGAATAAGGCAATTTTTTTTTAATAATGAAAAATACGTTTTCAACTTTTACCGTACATTATTAAAAAAATGGTGTCAACCCCCAATAGGGTGGAAGCGTCAATCGGCGCTATGTCTCTAATGTTCATTGACCATTTCTCTAACTATCTGCCAAATTTCAAGTCAAACGGTTCAGTTTCAAAGAATTTGGAGGTGAAAAGCTTCAATGACTGTACTATAGGCTTTTCCCGTGCGCGCGTGTCGAATTTTCGTGAGAGGAGCTGTCATTCAAACTTAATTGGTACAGTTCATCACGGCGACGTGCACCGGCAACACCAAATATTAAGGCAACCTAAAACGTAAAAACTAATAACTAGATATTTTAAAATTTTCTTAAAATATTTAGACTGGAATGAAGTAATTTAACGATGCAGAATACAATAAAGCGTGGGAAATAATTAATTAATTTGTTTAATTAATTAATTGTTACCAAGACGTTTAAAGTTAGCGCACGGGAAAAGTTTCTCTGAGCATAGCAGATGAAAAACTTCCTCTTCCTCTTCTAAACGGCCATGGAAACATGGCGTTTTCAGAGAGGTGTAATGAAAATACTTTTTTTTTTGTTGTAGTTCAAGGAACGGTGATAACCAGCGAATACTACTCGAAGAATGGTGGCGAACCGGTTGGACAAGTGAGCGTGACGAAATATTCGACCGACCCTCGAGATCTAGGCACCGACGATGACACTGTCGATAACAAAGGAGTAACCAGCGTAACGACGACGCAGAAATTCGGGTACAAAGACACGCCGTCTCTGCGAACCCTTACTAACAAGAAAAAGGCAAGTTAAAGATATAAATAGACGGTTAAAAGATCTCTCAAGTTACTAGAGACGCAAAACGCTATTCATGAATATTGTAAATAGATTCCAGTGGCGTGTATCATTCAAGCGATCATTAAATGTTGTTTTTTTATTCCATATTTTAGGAAATTACCGGCACAGACGACACAACCACAACCACAACCACGAAAACTACAAAAGTGGCGCGTAAAAATTCTGTCAAGGCCCTATCTCAGAAGTTTATCGAAAATGCGGGTAAGTGTTAAAACAAACTTAGGTTTTAAATTGCTAGATGGCGAATCTCCTATAAAAGCCTACAGTGAGTATACAAGGTGTAAGAAGCTTGACTGCTATTACTTCAGCATGAATGACCGTTGCATATTACAGGGCCGTAAGCTTAAAGGATTTCAAAATACAGCGAGTATTAATATTGGAGAGTTTCATCACAACGTGACAACAGCGCTTAATCTGCTGATTCACACCACGTGTACACGCGGCACACTTGTCCTACGGAAAAAATGTAAACAACTATTATTGTTAAATATTTAGTAAACTTCAAGACAATTAATTGTTTTCCAGTTTTTAAATAAATAAAATAAAATGTATCGATTTTGTAGTGCGAAGATAGTGTTGTGCTTAAATTTTGGCTCGCATTTTAGTAATTATGAATCTCTTAAAACAGGAACTTAACTTTTTAATCAAATTACCTATTTGAAAAATATGTGATTAAAGTACCTAAAGATTTACGTCGTGCAAATAATCATACGTATTAAAAATAAATTAGGTACTTACCAAAAAGCAAAATTCGAATCCAGTTTTCGCGCACTCGCTGGAAAACACCTCAAGAAAAGGAAATAGTGGTACGCAAAAATCACTCCGACACGGTCGAATCCAGATACCAACTGAATTGCGTATTGGTAGTTCCTGGACACCTTAGTACCTCATGTTAATAAACCGCCGCGCCGTTGTCACATTGCTCGATATGAATTTTATCGAATTTTAAACTTATTACAACGCTAATTACTTTTTAGAATTAAGCATATAGAAGTTAAAAAGTGATAAACATTATATTTTATGGTATTCTAGGCACGTAGTTAGTTAAATATTCCTTAATTAATAGAACTTTTATACATAAGGATTTTTTGTTTATTTTAATGTATTCTATCGTCTATCTTAAGGCAGTCAAACTTCTTAACACCCTGTATAAATACAGTGGCGATAATAGATGTATTCGTGCCGCAGATAACAGAATACTATAGACTAGAATCTCAATGTCAACAACTAAACATATGCTCCAAGCGGCTGGGTCGAGAACTATTTCTTAAATGCGGAAACTTTGAAATATGAATTACCTATTATCTAACAGCAAAAGGCGTATTTTATGGGGTTTATATCAACGAAAAATTAACCCACTCCAAAAAAAGTAATTGTTTTTATTTTATATGAATTACATTACGGTGGCTTGGTTTGAAACTTTTCGTATTTACATGTAATAAACAATCGGATAAAAAATTGATGAAAAACCAAGGTTAGCTTAGCAGAGTTTGGCTTTTATATTTCAAGCAAAAGTTCAATGCAGTTGTCGCTGTTACATTTAATTACACAGGCCAACAAAATGTTTCTGACCTTCTAAACCAAAAACCAGATTATACTTTCGCGAATGTTTTCGACGCGTTTGATCCAAATCCAACCAAGAATTGCTCCATCACATTGGGTATGAGAAGGAGCTAACCTATAAATGCGAAAAACACGGTTCTCCGCTATATTTGAGGTTACGACACACTGTGGCACACTATGGCATCTAGAAGTACTACTTTTCTTCTTCTTGTAAACCTATTTTGAAATGTTCGAATATCTTTCTCTCCCAGAAACAGTTTACTGAATTTTTTTAGTTGGGCGTTCTTCTCGATATCCGAAAATTGAGTAGCATCAGGTGAAGACTCAAAAAAAGAGAAGAATCAAATTACAAATACCCAAAATTCTCACTGTCGTTCAGACTTTCGGAATCGCTTATATCAAAATTGAAGTCAGAATGGCATTTATTTTTTCCACCCGCCATACGTATTACAATTTGAGCAGACGATTTCTTAGAGCAGGAACAAGAATTCGAACGATGCAAAATGGATTTTGAAGACGAAAGGTATAACATTGAAACGCTAAAACGAGTTTTTTTGGAAAATTTACTTCGTGATGTATCATAACCTCCAACATAGCATAAAACCATGTTTTTCGTACTTTTAGGTTAGGATATTGCGAAACTGATGGAGCAATTATGAATTCGAATTCGGGATGAGCCCGTCAAAAATCTCGGAAAAGTAAAATTCGCTGTCTGGTTTAAAATTATGTGGGTTTGCGTTATTTACGAGTAGATAAAAGGATTGTAAATCTGGAAAGTGGTTTATTTATTATTCCCGATTTACAATTATCAAAGTATAAAAATAGTTATATTACAACTTAAACTTGTAATATAAAATGTAGTTACATCTTTTCTTAGATCTTTGTCACTTTTAGTTATACTATGAACAACGGTGACAGGGATTTTATGGGACTGTCGCCATCTTATGCCTTCATTCCTAAATTTAAGCGGCCTTCTAACTATTTATATTATATACAGGGTATTCCACGGTGACGAGACATTAGACATATTTCAGACTACTTCGATTTTAATTTTGAAAATTTGGACAATATTGTTTTCGGGCATGCCCAATTAAATTAAATGCTCAATTAAAATAATGGCGTCCACATAACGCTTCCGGTTATGCCGGAAGTTATCTTCGTTATTTTAAATGGAACACCCTCTATATTATTGCACTTTTGTTAGAATGTCAGCATTTGAATAAATGTTAACGTTTTCCATCCTTTAACAATAAATAATACTCGAATAAGCCAAATTTGCAACATTAAAATCGAAGTAGTCGCTGAAATATGTGTAATGTCTCGTCACCGTGGGGACACCCTGTATATTATATGATTTTTTAATATATTTTTTATAGTGGAGACCTTGAAGAGTGAAAGGCAAACAACCTATCCCAAGGCAGGCTTGATTTTGCGTACTTCCAGCTTCAAGGACTCTGGCAGTGGCACTGACGAAAGCAGAGAGACATCACCTGGTAAAACATATTCACTTTTACAAAAAAATAAAAAATGTTAGAGTATAAAAAACTTAATAAAAATTTTGAGCAGTAACATTTAGTAAAATAGCAACATTTGCTAAGAGAGCAGGATGAAGGCATAAGAGTCCTTTCGTTTGCAGCAAATCGCGAATGCGACAGCACAGTAACTGTCAGAACGTCTACCACCAGGACGGTAGGTGGCGACACTTTCCTGACCAATAAGAACAGGGTGTCCGGAGTCAAGGACGTGATCAGCAGGATGAAGACCGAGGATTACCAGGAAGGCGACACGGAAGAGGATATCGAAGCAAGGGGATTGCTTAACAAGTTCATCGGCTCTCAAGTCATCCTTTCTGGAATGGAGTCCAGGACCTCCTCGAAGACGACCTCCGTTTCTCCGACTAGCACAGTTAGGAGGTCGACGAAGATTACGACAACAGTGACGGTGAGTGCTCGATATTAAGCATGTAAATAATGCACAGGAAAATGTTTAGTCAACATCGATTATAAATGTATACAATTCAAGAAGTCCAAAGTTAGTTCCGTGAGGTACCCCAAAATGGAAAAAAACAATGCCACTATTTATGTTTAAAATCAAATCAACGTGTTTAACCATCTTTGGCACTATTTTAACTATTCTATGTTATGTCTTTCAAGTGTTATGAAAATTGTTTTCTTGGAATTGTTAAATTATAATATAAAAAATGTACGTATGTAAATCCGACTTAATTTTTTTGAAAACGACTAAAAATAGTAGACTTTTTGTAATAGGAACACCATATTTGTATAACACAACAAATGATCATGGCATAAAAAATAAATAATGTGTTTAATTTCTCTAAGTGGGGTTAAAATATAAAAGTATCTGTGACCAAGCGTAATAATGAATTTAATAAAACACATCCCAATATACAATTTGTTAAATGTAATGTAATTCACAGGAAAACAAAAGTTTCAACATAAAAATAGACACAAAATCAAAGCGACAGATGTTTATAATATATACTTCTACATTATTATATTAATACATGATGATAGGTCGTGATGTGTAAAATAGTCTCCGTCCAGTTCTTAACCCTCAAAGGTCATACTTGGGGTGAGCCACCTTAAAGGTCACACTAGTGCGAATTGGGATTTTCCCAACTTTGAACCTTTATGTCTTCTTTATTTGTTAACGAAAATAACGTTTTTATATCAAAACTGGGGTAAAATTTTCCGAGAAATCGAATGATGTAATTAGTTTTGAAAAAAAATGAATTTGTTAATAAAAAATATGACTGAAAGAAACAAAATTTCGAAAAATGACTTTAAATTCGTATTTTTTTTATAAATAATGGTTAGAAAATAAGTAGAAAATTATTTTGAATCAGTCTATATTTTTAAGAAAGAAATACCCCATATTGATAAAATAATATAGATTTTTTCCGGTATCTGAAATCGGTATATGAATTTTTTTAAGTTATGATTTTTTGTTTCTATTCTGTAAATTGATGTTTATTTTGCACTCTTTTGTATAAAAATATTAATTTAAACAATATTATCAATAATTATTGACAAACACATGTGTAATTACACATTAACCTATTAATGAAAAAAAATATTTGAAAAATTATTATTAACAATAAATGAGGTGAAAAAAATCGGAAATTTGCATTTCAATTCAATTTATTTCTAGATTATATGATATAAATTCAGCCACACTTTTACCTACACTAAAGTCACACTAGTGCGAATTCGCACCGATCGGACTTTTCAGACTCTAGTTTGTCCGACAATAATAGACTGGAGCCAACTGTGGTACGGCTCAGCAGCTGCTTCCTGAGAAATACCAGCTGGTAAAAAAAAGCGGTGGTGCGAATTCGCACTAGTGTGACCTTTGAGGCTTAAGATTCGTTATTTTTCTCAAATACCTTAGTACTGGTTTTCAAGTCTACACTAATTTTAAATATCGAATCCTAACAATTATAAAAATAATAGACTTTTTTAGTAGTGACGTCACATGCGCCAAATAATAGGCCACCCCGTAGTGCACATTGCCATGAAGAATTTCCCAACATTTTACTAGATCGATTTTTGATCTTGTACAGCGTCTTTCTGAGTACTTTAAAAGCATAATTAAAAAAAAATAATTATAATGAATTTATAAAGTTATTCTATTTGTTTATAAGCGAAACATTACGCATATCTTTAAACAATTACCACGGCTCTCCTAATTAACGAATTTCAAATTTTTTTGGACGTATTTTTAAATTTGAATGCCCTGTTTTATGTGATAAAATTTTCAAATATCTAGAAGTCTTTATTTTAGGCTCAGTTAAATTTGCAAAAATTTCTTTTTTTTTCAAAAATCTGAATTGCAAAATTATTACTCGAAAACTATCCGACCGATTTTAGCGAAAATTGGTGTGATGTTTTATCATATCAAAAATATTTTTTTGGCCAAGTATGAAGAAGGATCTCAGGTAGGAACCTGTAATATATGTAAGTACTTTTAAAAAAATCGCAAAAATATTGTAATTTTTTTCACTTTTTTTTTGTTTTTGCTATATTTGCAATAATTATGTTGTATTTTTTTATTTGAAAATAGATATATCATGTGTAAAATTTAATTACGAATTTCTTTTTCCTTTTCAATTTTTCTCTAAAATGAATAGTTTTTGAACTGTGTTGAAAAAAAAAAAGAAAAAAATGGAATTTTTTCCAATTTTTTCACTTTTTCTTTAATAATAAGTTTAGCACACGTTTTGAAGCGCGCGCATAGTGTAATTATGTTTTGTTATATCATTTTGGAGCCATTGAAGTAAAAATTAGCGATCCTATATAAAACATCTACACCAAAACAGATCCCGCCTGGTCTATATGGGTAGGTACACATTTAAAAAAATACTATTCTCCTTGTGATGTAATATCTACGGCTTTGGGAAGCAAAACACTTGGAAAGTTTATTTTTATATTTATTATAATGGTCTTCTAGATGTACCTGTTGAACAAACTACGACGATTCGGTTGGTAATTCATAGCCTGTTATTATTCAAATTTAATCAGTTTACTATGGAAAACATTTGTATTATACATATAGCAGCAGTGTCAGTAGGTAACTGGAAATTATAAATTATAACTCGAAATTAAAGAATCAAATTTTATGACTAAATTTTAGTGTATGTATTGTTTATATCATTATTTGTATGTTTTCTTTTGTTATTCTAATTATAATTAGTTCAAACCATTAAAATTAAAAATTAGTGCTTCATTCGGAACTGCACATTTAAGAAAAACACATTAGTCAACATTTTATTTGTTTTTTAATTTTCAAAATGATGAAATAAACCCTTGTTCCAAAAAAATATATCAAGAGTTAAAAATAATTAAAAATTCATTATCCCAAAAAAATTGTAGATAGGTGCTTCTTTAACTCTGTGCCATACTGTATGTATTAACATTTCAAATTTCGTTCAAATATCGCATAATAAGCATATTTTGATAACATAATACATAACGCGAAAAGTTTAAAAAATACGATGTATACTTTTCTGTAAACTGTTAATGTTAATAATTTTGTTTAAGGTAAAAGATTTGTTTTTTCGTAACTTTTCACCCCCTCCACCTGCCGCTTTCCATTGAAAGTGGTATAATAGTTTGAAATCTCAAAAAACGTCTTCTATGAAGACGGCGAAGTCGAGCGGCCCCAAATCTGAACCGCGCGATTGCTTTTTTTTTATGGAAAATTCCGTGACGTCCGCAATCCCGTATAAGGCGAACTCCCTCGTTTTTTCGAAAATCGACGGTCCGTCGTCCTCTCCCTCGACCGAAATCCCGTCGAACCACGCAAGGTTGCCACTCCACCGACTAATAAACTCCACTAATTTTGGACGTGGTGACGTCAACGGAGACGCTGCGAGGCATCCGCGCCGCGACGGTGGCTGTGTTCCTTATAATTCTGTGAAGTGAACACCAATTTCTAACACTCTGCCGCCCGGTGGGACACCCCATTTTGGATTACTACCCTTAAATTTCTGTCGAGGTAAGAGGCTGTCTTTCCGCTATGTATGTATACGAACCTTTCCGATAAAAATAGCTGCGTTGCGAAATCTCCAAAAAAGGAAAATGCCTGCTTGATTTTTGAACTGCTGAAATTGTTTTTGGATGCAGAAATCAACCAGAATAATTTCTATTTCCGTAGAGTCGTTCTTATTTCGACTTTCGATTTATATGTCGACCATACCATAAAAGGCAAAGTATAATTTATAATGCTTAAGTATGTTTAACAATTATTCTTTAATACTGTGCTGGTTAGAATAAATTTTGAAATAATTCCAAAAGATTTCATTAAAACAAATCGAAATTAGTTATGTATACCATTTTTGCCGTTTTGGCGCAATAACTGAAATATATTTTGAATTTCGTATATCTGAGGCGCGCTAAACAAATACTTTTAGTTACTTACAATTTTTTGGTAAGGTCAATGTCCCATATATGGAAACAAAGCTTGCAACTCTTGGCAAAAATCACAAATTGTCAAAATATAAATAATAAACTACTGTTTATGTTTAATAAAAAACCCTTGTGTCATTTGAAATAAATTTATATTTAAACCGATATAAAATTTACGACACATTTTATTCACACATATTTCATTTTACGTACTCACCCTTTTTTCAAACAATAAGCTTGTCCCGGTTTATTTTTAAAAGCGAATAGTTCGAAGTTCCGAAAAAATAAATAGCTTTTGTCCAATCCTTTCCAATTACTTAACCACAAGTTATACGTTGGACTATAAAAAAATTGCAACGAAGTGACGAGCGACGTTTTTGAGAGTCGAATTGTCTTGGAAATTTTCCACCTGACGTTTATTTCTGTTTTGCACTGCAGTCTATCAAAAATAGGAAACTTAAAATTACGCGGGTTGAGAAACTTGAGACAATGAAAAAAAATTTTACGAATCTGCCAAGAAAATAAAATATAGTGTAGTTCATTCACGATTCCGGTGGCTACAGATAAATATATTTTTTAGAACCAAAATCCAATACCGTTGTCCAATTTAACAGACGTTTCTTTTTGAATTTTCTAAACCAGAAATAATCTTTTTTAATGCACCTACAGAAAATTATTGTTACAGTTTTCTAGCAGCTGGTTTACCGTTTCATTGTTTCAAAATATTTATTTGTATAAAACGCATCTTGGCATCTTGCTCTTTTCTTTTGTTTGCAGGTCGTGACGGTCGCTGGATTTATTTATTTATATTTGCGCATTTCGGTTTGTGTGATTGAATCTCGAATTGGATTTGCGTCGTTTCTAAGTTTATTAGCAATAGGCGATATTTCCTTGATTTTTGTTAGCAGCGCGGATAAGCTTCATCTCAACAGTTTACTACGGCGTATAGATAGACGGGCTCTGCCCAAAATAGACCGGGTTAAATCGGGACATTATAATGTGGTGGAGGAGAAA